TCCTGTATGCTGGTCTTAGGAGCACTAATGAATTGTGGTTACGCGGGCACCGCTGCTGATTTATCCTGGAGACCCTCCTCGATTTACTGCGGCAGACCCGTGGCGGTCGTCCCCTGAAAAGACGGCTTCACTTTTCAAACCAGGCTCCCTCAAAGCAATGCTTGCTTGAAACTGACCCATCGGAAGGAGCTTTCAGGAGCCTGACTGACTCGTTTTCTTGCCGCCGAGAGACAGAACAAACGCATTTTCCAATTTTGGCAGAGTCAGACAGCATGATGGTTATGGAAGCGATGTAGAGGAAGAAGAAAAACTAAGTGGTTTCCTTCCCCCCCTAAAAAATATTGCTCCCAAAGGGCATTCTGCAGGAGATCAGAGCTTAGAAGGTGTCAGGGCCCAGCTGGGGTCTACCTAAAAAGTTCAGAGTCCCTGAAAGGTGTCTGGAGCTGAAAATCGGAGCCTGAAGCATAGCCAGAATTACTCATGGCCAGCTAAAGGCAAAAAACAAAACAAAACCCAGTTTCACAGTAATCCATCCTGAATGAAGGGGCCTGCACGGGTCTATGAGACTCAAGGGTCTACTGTCACTCATTAAAGTTCTAAGAATTCTGGTTCAAGCTTCACTCTAGTGCATGCGATAATTTAATCTAGGGAGCTATTTTAATGATCTGCCTTCCTCCTCTCTGCACTGCGATTTCAAACAATATGCTTTCAATTCCTTGAAGGTCGCTATCGGAAAGTTCCAATTAGCCCACGCTTTTGCATCTGTGCAGTTCGATCAATTGGGAAAGAAAAAGAAAAAAAAGGTTGCTGTGATATGTTATATTGGGCTATTTATGCAGCTCTAAAAAAGTTCATTGAGAAACTGGTAATTTGGATACAAAATGCTGATGATTGTATCCCAGATAGTCTTCTGTCTGAATCAGGAAAAGTAGAAGTTTAAACTCAGAAAATAATTAAAGCAAGTGCAGTAAAAGGCATCCATATAGATATTTTCATTTATAAAAAGTTCCCTGTATCCAACTCTTATAGCCTTTCATGAGTTTTCTAAAGCTCTTTGGCATTCAGCTATAAAACTGGACTGATTGCTTCAAGCCTCAGAGCGCTTGACAGGAGGAGCATTTTCACACTTGCATAAAACGTGTAAAGCACACCAGGCTTCTACCTTCAAAACAGAGGACATCTGGCACAGAGGAAAAAGTCTGGTGAAGCGGGGGTTGACTTGCCCCGGGGTTCCAAGCGTCCATGAAACAAGAACAGCTGCCCAAAACGAGAAGTGTAACAAATTGTGCCAAGTGTTGCAACTAACTACCTGAGATAACGAGTTGGTGTCTAGAAAATCAAACTGGCTCCAGGCCACTGATAAGGTCTAAAATTGTGAGAACAGAGAAAGGCTCATTTGGAATGATTCCTAGTTGGCAAGTCTACCCCCAAACTGTAAGAACACTAGTGAACCCTTTCTTCCAAATACCACTGGTTAACTGATGTTAATCATCGAGATAAGGTTTCAGGCCAGTAGAACTCAGCATTCAACTACTATCTTTGACAGCGAGGCTGTGCTGAGCACCAAATTCTGGCGGGGGTGGGGGGAAATAACATCCATATTTTAAAACGTTGTTTTACTCCTTTGGATGCAAAGATATGGGTGAAAAAAAATGTGTAGGTAATGGCAGATGAAATCCCTGCTAGCTAAATAAGATTTCTAGTAATTTAGGATCTAGTAATTCAGGGTCTAAATTTAGGACCTATGTCAGTACTTTGCCCCTCTCTTGAGGCTGTCCAAAATAGAATAAATCTGCAAAATAACCAACAATGCAAATAAAGGATTCTGGAATCCGGCTTTTTTTGGACCGCTTGATTTTAGGGCCTGCAACGCATGTCCTAACAGAACTATTGTCCTAACAACTAGGGGTCTGCAATTTCTGTCTGTATGTGTGTGTGCTGCTTTAGTTGTGCTTTCTACATTTTTGAAAAATGTCATTTCTACTGGCATTAATGGGGAACACATTTCCATTCACGACAGTTCCATCCAACTGGAAAGAAATTCTCTGGAACTGGATCCCTCCCTCTTTTGCTGAATTTTTGTACTCAATTAAAACCCTGGCAGGGCAAGCACAGGGAGGCAGCCAGCCACTCCCCAAAAGCAGACAAAGGTGGTGTGGAAGAGTGGGCACAGAGACTTGCATTTGACAGCCCCACAACTCACTACTGGTGTACACTGCACGAGCTTAAGACGTTATAACAGATCCTGCACTACAGCTGGCCCTAAAAGAAAGGGAATGGAAAGGGACATCAAACCCTTATTTAAATAGCAACACACACTCACATATACACTGCAGCAAATCATACCCTCTCACACCCAAAGTACAGCAGCAACAATTGTTAAGAGCAAAATAAGCTAGAGAATGGGAATCTGTATTTGCCAGGTCTCAGTGAGATGAATGTATTGCATGCAAGGCAGGAAAATTCTACTACATTGCTAGCTTATACAGAACCCGGATCAGAGTTTTTCCCTAAACCACTGAAACAGCACAACAAATGGCAGAACACTGTGCACAGACAGACCCATTACCAAAGTCTGCTCTGGTGGGAACATCCTTTAAGCATTCTGGTTGGATAAAATCCCTGTCACTGACATCATCTTACTCTCCCTCTTCTCCACCACTATCACCATCTCCCCATCCCCTGCTGCTAACTTGTGCAGCTGTGAACAGCAGACTGTACAGATGCCAGAAATTACCAAGAACACTTCCAAAGACATATAGCAATTCTTGGTTGTCCTTCCTTTTTTTTAAAAAAAGAAATCAGATGTATTATAATACCGACAGTAAGAAAAAAATAGTCTTTTTGTTCAGCGATTTCATTAGCTAAAGTCCGAATGCCTGTCCACAGCAACAATGCCATAAACATAACAAGGAATTCTAAGACACTCCAGATGCACACAGTCTTACAATCTTGAACTTTTCACAGTGAACCCCACCCAGGGATAACAATGGTGCTACTGAATATATTTACTTTAATCACAGAGGGGGGGTCAAGGAGCCCTTAGCTCTTTATGAGTTGATCTTTTTGCTTTGAACACTAGAATGTTTGGCCAAGCCCCAGGCTAAATCAGGAACGGCTTACCCTGGAAGAATAACTCACGGAAACAAATCCCGACCAGTTCAGGAGAAGCAGGTCATGAGGAGCACCTAATCCTTCATAAGGAAGCGGAGGTTCCCTTTCTTATGTGCTGTGTAGCAGGGAAGGTCCAGGGGAGGCCCACTCCCAGCAGGGGCAGAAAAGCAGGCACCAGGACCTCTGTGGCAGTTGGGACAAGCCTCGGGGAGACCAGGAGTGAGGTGGAGCCTCAAAGGCTGGTCAGCAACCCCAATAGTGGGAAGGGTGTGCCTGGACACCTGTGCTGCAGGGCCAAGGTTGGCTGGCGGTGTCAGCAGCAACTGGGAGTGAGAGTGCTCCTTGAGGAGCCAGGCTTGAGGAGGTCAGCGGAGGAAGATTCAGTGATGGGGCCACATGTTGGGAAGAGGCTTAAAGGCAGTGGTCAGGAGTACTTTGGAGTGGATGGAGGAGTGGAGAGGGAGTTCACCGGCAGGGAAGGTGGGGCCAACCACCTCTCTGGAAGGCAGGGACAGCATTGCCAGTGCACCGTGACCTGAATAAAGGCTACTTTGAATCACACCTGCCACAGGAAGTGGTGGTGGCTACAAGCATGGACGGCTTCAAAAGGGAATGAGATAAGCATATGGAGCAGAGGTCCATCAGTGGCTATTAGCCACAAGGTATAGATAGGGGCTCTGGGGCAAGGGATGCTCTGTCTTCTTGGTGCTTGGGGGGGGGTCAACAGTGGGAGGGCTTCTAATGTCCTGGCCCCACTGGTGGACCTCCTGATGGCACCTGGTATTTCTGGCCACTGTGTGACACCGAGTGTTGGACTGGATGGGCCTTTGGCCTGATCCAACATTGGCGTCTTCTTATGTTCTTATGTTCCAGGCGTGAACAAAGGCCAGGGAGTCCATACCCCTTTCCCAGCTTGTGGCGGGCACCCATCATCCAAGTAACTTGAGAGGCACCAGCCACGCCCACATGGTGGCTACCTTTTAAGAGCCTCTATGCCTCCTCAAATATAAAAAGGGGAAGTTCTAGAGTCCACTGATTTATCAGTGGGCGAGATCCACAAGTTCTTCTCCCCAAATTATACAGAAGCAGGGGGAAAGGGGCACAGGTTCCAAACGCTTCTACTTTTGCCATTTCCGTTGCTTGTGAAATTCTTTAAATATCTGGAAGATAGCTTACAGTTTCTACTTCTGGTACCTTCTACGCTGGCAGGGTGGCTGAGGTCTCCCTACATTATTTTTATTTTTTTGTTTACATATACACATACAACTTATTTTCTATTAAGAAAAAAACAATCCACAAAAAGAGGGGAAAACCAGTTATACGCATTAAGGTTAAACAATTCTATGTTAGACAGGAAACACCAATATTTTTTAAAACTCACCACTGATGAAATCAGAGATGAAAAACTAAGCAAACAAAACATGGAAGGCTTTTAAAACAAACAAGGGCTACAGCTTCCGGAAGAGTGACGCTAGAGAAAATTCCTGGTTCAGCTTTTTTGGAAGGTGCCACCACTCCTTAAAGTCTCGACTTTGGTGACTCTGGAATGGTTCTTCCCCAAGAAAGGAAGAAAGCACCACACAAAAACTTAATGCCAACAACTCTCAAGCCAGTTTTGTATTACTTCAACAGCTTGAGGCCAGAGAAGGTGGAGCAGGTAATAAGCCTACAATAATAATACTTAAATAAATCATTTCAGAGTGTTGAAATTACATCATCTTTACATCAATGTGGCACTGTTACGAACTCAGGATGGGGGGGGGAGAAGGGTTAAAGTTTGGGGTGGGGTGGGGGTAGCATAAGGCCACCTAGTGAGTTTGTGGCAGATTTAAATTTGCCTTCAGTTAATTCCCTGACAAATGAAGTCACATTGGGCAAATACTCACCGGACTCTTGCAAGTATCTATATACGAGGAAGTTGACCTCATCACTGCTTATACTCATCTTTATGCCCGCTTAAACCATGAGGTCACAACGAAGGATACATCCCTAAAATAAACAAAAATACAAGTTATAGTAGGTCAGGAATTTGAAGAGAAAGAAGTTTCTCCGACTGGACTCTGAGCATGCTCAAGCTTCCCGTCAGTGTTATGCCCAGAGACCATGAAGAAAAACACAACAATTTATTGCAAGAAACTCCTAATGCTGATGAAACCTCACAGCTGGGTTCTAAAAACTAGTTTTGGAGCATCCTCGAATGAGCATTAACTTTAGCCTGATGTAAATGGCAAACCAGGATAAAGACAGGTGCACAGCTGGAAACTTGTTCATAGTGGGGGGGGGGGGGGCGACGCACAATGCCGGAATTAAAGGTAAAGGTTCCCTTGCTCGAAAGCCAGTTGAATCCGACTCTAGGGTTGCGGTGCTCATCTCCGTTTCAAAGCCAAAAAGCCAGCGCTGTCCGAAGACGTTTCCGTGGTCATGTTGCCGGCATGACTAAACACCAAGGTGCACGGAACGCTGTTACCTTCCCACTGAAGTGGTCCCTATTTATCTACTTGCAATTTCTTGCTTTCGAACTGCTAGGTTGGCAGGAGCTGGAACTAGAGATGGGAGCTCACTCCATCATGCGGCACCCGGGTCTCGAACTGCTGAACTACTGACCTTCCATAGCCTGCAGTTCAGCGTCTTAACCACTTGAGCCACCGCAGACTCCAGTAGTCACTCCCTTAAAAGTATTTAAGGGCCAGCCAAAATTATACCTGAAGTGGAGCCTCTGCACAACCCAACACTTTTGTTTATTCTGAAATCCAGTGCAAGGTAGTGGCACATGTTTAGGGGACATGGCAACATTATATCTGCAAGTGATATTTACGCTATCTAGTATATGTTTATTCAGCCCCCCCCCCCTTCCGAGGCGCTCATAGCAGCAGATGGAGAATCCCTCCTTCCCCATTTTATCCTAACAACTGTGTAAGAGAACCTGACTAATTCAAGGTTACCAAGTGATTAGGCTGAGTTGAGGAGGTAGAACTGAACCTGGATCTCCCAGATATTAGATAATATAACCACTAATGGATCCTTGGTATGCAAACTAAATCTTGAATCTACTGGAGGATTTTCATGGATGGATTTCTACTGCCAAAAAGGGCTTTCCTTAAGTGGTGTGCAATTTATTTGCCTCCCTTCCCCACTGTAAGCAAAAGTACCCCTCTTACTCTGCTCCTGGGAGACAAAGGCTATTCAGGAATTGGGGGGGGGGAGTGAAAATGCCCCCTTCCATTTGTGGAAATCCTCCAGCAGATCCAAGGCCTAAGCGTCAATAATTTCTTTGAACGGGTTGCGGCAGTGTAGTTTAAACAAGACCCATGCAAAGTTCCAACTGGAAGCTCTTTTGCCTCACCATCACATTTTTAAACAGACCTCATAAGGAGGTATGGATTCCCCCCCCATTACTTAAACACCATCCCAAAAGAAAACAACAAGAACCGTAAAGTCAGAAAACCAAGTCCAGTGCCATGAAGGGCGGCCGGGGGGGGGGGGGGGGGGACTGTAGATAGAATCACGAAATTATTTGTTCACAAAAAATTCAGGGACCTCAATGTATTTCGAAGGAATACTTTTCATCGAGAGAAACAGAAAATGTACTCTTGCTTGACAGAAGCCGAGCTCAAAACGGCTTTCTGTAATTATTTACTGAACTTATACACATCCACTGGGGGGATCCAAAGCCACTCCCATCGTTCCCTGTGCCTCCAAGTTATCCTCACAGTAGCCCCCCCCCCCCTTGAGGCAGGTTATGCTGAGAGTGTGTGACTGGCCCAAGGTCACCCAGCCAAGTTTCTATGGAGGAGTCGGGATTCGAACCCGGAGTCCCCTTGATCCCAGTCTCACACTCCAGCCACTACACCACACTGGCTCTCTTTAAAAAAGAGGAAGGAGCAAACAGGACATTGCATGAATTTAAAACAAAACATGTAAAACATTCATTAAAATGTACCAGCTGTAGGCCTCACAGCAGACGATCAGGAGAAAAAATATCATTATATGTCTGTCAAAAATATTATTTATCTGGACTGAATAGAATTTTTGCAAGGCTGGATCAAAGTGTTCTCTTTCAAGAGGATCAAGGAAGCAGGCTGGAGTTGGGGGGGGGGCACATCCTGGCACGCATCCCACAAGACAAGAGACTTGCTATCTAATGGGCAAAAGGTGGCAGTATAACACAAATATATGAAATACTTTACTGAAAATGAAAATGAAGAGGAAGCCTGAGAAAGAAATGGGCAATTTTCCCAATAAGGACATCACAGAGCAGAAACCTTGTTATAATGGTCTAATGTGTGCATAAAGATTCACGGTGTCTCAGAAGACTTCCACAGAAAATGTGCTGCTTTTTTCCCTCCAGGGTGAATCCTGTTTCTAAAGTTTTGCCATCAAAAAGTTGCCCATTTTGCTTATCTCAAGGGACTCTTCTCTACACCCCAGATTGCAACAGAATCTTCTGAGAAGATTTCCTCCACACTTTAGCCAAGGGATGCGAATCCTGGGTCCTTCCAAAAGAATGACCTGAACATTGTTTAGTCAAAATATTTAGTGTGTTTCCTAAGAATCCACGCAAAGATAAAGGTCTCATGAATTGTACTGTAGAGCCATAACTTCACAAAAATATCAACTGCAAAAGGACTAAAGGTGGTTCGACACCAGTTATTTTCTCTCTGATGTACTCTAGAAACCCCAGAACAATTGGTGTGATTGGTACTGTTCCTGGAAATCTCCGTGATTGGCATTCTGTTTTCAAGAAGTTCTTTTTTAAAAAGAAAAGACAGGTCACTGTCTCATTAAGGAGGTAATTGTTTTTCAGCAGCTACTTTCTAGATAGTCTACAAGAAACTTCAGCTCCTGAAATTCTAGGTCAAAGAGAAGTCCAGTGAGGCAGCTTGGTAGAGGAAAAATGCTGAAAGTCATAGCTGACTTAGGACAACCCCAAGCAGTTTTCAAGGCAAGAGACGTTCAGAGGAGATTTGCCATTGCCTGCCTTTGTGTAGTAACTCTGGAGTTCCTTGCTGGTCTCCCACCCAAATACTAACCAGGGCTGACCCTGCTTAGTTTCTGAGATAAGACAAGACCAAACTAGTTAGGACCATCCAGGTTAGGGTGGAGCACCTCCAAGACTAAGAAGGCTTATTCCAGCAAAAGCTGTTGTGAATCAATGCTCACTTCCTAGTACACACCAGGGCTTAACCACAAGTCAATTTATTCACAAGTAGGTACATCAGCTTGCCATTGTGTAAGTACAACAAATATCTAATAAACAGGATCTGAAGGGCAAGATGAGAATGGGCACATCAAATCAAAGTTAAAAAATAAAAACTACTGCAGAAGAGAGGCGTGTGCTTGTTTCCAAACGGATGGGGGGGGGGAATTAACCCAAATACCTCCCCTCTGCTGGGTCCATAAGGCTGCTTGCCTTCTTTGGATGACCAAATGCGGATCAGTAACCATTACTTAATGTGGCCTGCTTTCCTAGGGGGTGCCAAATGCAAGCCATTGCCCAGTGACTGATGCTGTCTGTTTAATCGGGGCAGCCAAATGTTCTCCTGTTATTCTGCCTGCCTTCTGGAGGTGACATATCTGCTTCGGCCTGCACTGCTGTGTGAAAATCCCCTTGGAAGTATAAAATTCTCCATGGGTTTCATGCTAATTGGATAAACAGCTTTCGAGATGTTGCAGCATTTAGAGTCACAATCCTTTACTTCAATTGTCTACACACACACACACACACACACACACACACATATATATATATATATATAAAAATAAATAAATACTAGGGCCCTTTCCCCCATTTTTCTGAGATTTGGCACGAATGATTCTTTAGGCAGCACAAATATTCCTGGAGTATTTCATCAAAATGGGATGGAAAATACAGATATCACAGTCAGAAATGTGCTTTCCGTTAAAGCCAATGGAAACAAACAGAAAACAAAAGGTCTTGACACTGATGTTTCCACTTCACATAACTGTTTGAAGGACAGAATTTTGAGTCATCTCTACTCCAACACTCCAGGGATAGTTGCATATCCAATCCTGGAAGAGCTTTCTGACCTCCCTGTTCCAATCTGGCAGGAACCAGCCTTCATTCAGGCCACAACTCGTAAGACTGAAAATGTATACGGAGTAAAGCAGGACTCATGTATAAGTTCCATTCCACGTACCCACCATCGTCTTCATTAGTTATGGAACGTGTGCAGGCATGCCCACAGCCTGGCCAGCATTCATCCCCAGCCTTTTGGCGAGGACCAAAGCAACTCTTTTTGGAGGGATCGGAGCCATCCTGATTGTCGGGCATGTAGGAACCAAACGGACGGATGGGGGTCCTGAACTGGGTTCAGTAGTCAGAGCAGAGGGAAGTGAACCTGAGACAGAACCAAGGACAACGCCTTCTCCCACAGTGCAGCTTTCAGCCTAGAGGCCCTATCTGGCTGAGCCTTCGGGGTGGAGCGCTGGCAAAAATCCAACACTGTGAGCCTCTCCTAAGCACAGAAGACAGAGTTCATACTTGTCGCTGTGCGTCACCTTTGTTCCATACTTTGGACATTTTTTAAACAGTGCCTTGGATGTCATGACGAGGGACCACAAGCACAGCAAACAGGGAGAGCCTGGACGATGGGGCTTGCCTCCCGCGAAAGACTCCCAAAGGAGGGCAAAGCAAGTCCTCAATGACAAAAAGGAGTCTTTCTTTCATCCACGACGACGGTGAATAAAATCAACGGCGCATGCTTAGAAAGCTTCCAATCCTCGTGGTGGCAAAAAAGGAACTGAGGGAAGGGGGTGCCTGCTGAGAGAGCACATGACATGCTGGGCAGAAATCCCATGCACGTGTTGGCTCTGGGAAAGGGTGGGGTGTCCCCTCTTTGGAGGGGTTTTTTTTGTTTGTATTTTTTCATTTGTGCATGTGTTTGTGTACGTGCGCGAGTGTGTGTGCACCTGGAAGTCATGGCGACCTCTGGTGACTGACGCCTACGGTGCCTGAAAAAAAGCTGCCC